GTTTTGCGCACTATTTGTTTTCTACTTTTACTAATACATTGGTGTTTTGCGCACTATTTGTTTTCTACTTTTACTAATACGTTGGTGTTTTGCGCACTATTTGTTTTCTACTTTTACTATTACGTTGGTGTTTTGCGCACTATTTGTTTTCTACTTTTACTAATACGTTGGTGTTTTGCGCACTATTTGTTTTCAACTCTCACTATTACGTTGGTGTTTTGCGCACTATTTGTTTTCTACTTTTACTATTACGTTGGTGTTTTGCGCACTATTTGTTTTCTACTTTTACTAATACGTTGGTGTTTTGCGCACTATTTGTTTTCTACTTTTACTATTACGTTTACGTTGGTGTTTTGCGCACTATTTGTTTTCTACTTTTACTATAACGTTGGTGTTTTGCGCACTATTTGTTTTCTACTTTTACTATTACGTTGGTGTTTTGCGCACTATTTGTTTTCTACTTTTACTATAACGTTGGTGTTTTGCGCACTATTTGTTTTCTACTTTCGCTATTACGTTGGTCTTTTGCGCACTGTTTGTTTTTTACTTTAACCATTCCGTTGTTGTTTTGCGCACTATTTGTTTTTTACTTTAACTAGTACGTTGGTGTGTTGCGCACTATTTGTTTTCTTTAACTATTACGTTGGTGTATTGTGCACTATTTGTTTTATACTTTTACTAATACGTTGGTGTTTTGTGCACTCTTTGTTTTCTAATTAAACTAGTACGTTGGTGTTTTGTGTACTATTTGTTTTCTACTTTAACTATTTCGTTAGTCTTTTGCGCATTATTTGTTTTCTACTTTTCTTATTATCTTGGCGTTTTACGCACTATTTGTTTTCCACTTTAAATATTACGTTAGTGTTTTGCGCATTATTTGTTTTCTACTTTCACTATTACGTGGGTGTTTTGCGCATTATTTGTTTTCTACTTTCACTATTACGTGGGTGTTTTGCGCACTATTCGTTTTCTACTTTTACTATTACGTTGGTGTTTTGCGCACTATTTGTTTTCTGCTTTTACTATTACGTTGGTGTGTTGCGCACCATTTGTTTTCTACTTTCGCTAATACGTTGGTGTTTTGCGCACTATTTGTTTTCTTCTTTAACTATAACGTTGGTGTTTTGCGCACTATTTGTTTTCTTCTTTAACTATTACGTTGGTGTTTTGTGCACTATTTGTTTTCTTCTTTAACTATTAGGTTGGTGTGTTGCGCACTATTTGTTATCTACTTTAACTACGACGTTGGTGTGTTGCGCACTATTTGTTTTCTACTTTAACTACGACGTTGGTGTGTTGCGCACTATTTGTTTTCTACTTTCACTATTACGTTGGTGTTTTTTGCACAATTTGTTTTCTACTCTCACTAATACGTGGGTTTTTTGCGCACTATTTGTTTTCTACTTTTAGTATTACGTTGGTGTTTTGCGCTCTATTTGTTTTCTACTCTCACTATTACGTTGGTATTTTGCGCACTTTTTGTTTTCTACTCTCACTAATACGTGGGTTTTTTGCGCACTATTTGTTTTCTACTTTCTTTATTACGTTGGTGTTTTGCGCTCTATTTGTTTTCTACTCTCACTATTACGTTGGTATTTTGCGCACTCTTTGTTTTCTACTCTCACTAATACGTGGGTTTTTTGTGCACTATTTGTTTTCTACTTTCACTATTACGTTGGTGTTTTGCGTTCTATTTGTTTTCTACTCTCACTATTACGTTGGTATTTTGCGCACTTTTTGTTTTCTACTCTCACTAATACGTGGGTTTTTTGTGCACTATTTGTTTTCTACTTTCGCTAATACGTTGGTGTTTTGCGCACTATTTGTTTTCTTCTTTAACTATAACGTTGGTGTTTTGCGCACTATTTGTTTTCTTCTTTAACTATTACGTTGGTGTTTTGCGCACTATTTGTTTTCTTCTTTAACTATTACGTTGGTGTGTTGCGCACTATTTGTTTTCTACTTTAACTACGACGTTGGTGTGTTGCGCACTATTTGTTTTCTACTTTAACTACGACGTTGGTGTGTTGCGCACTATTTGTTTTCTACTTTCACTATTACGTTGGTGTTTTTTGCACAATTTGTTTTCTACTCTCACTAATACGTGGGTTTTTTGCGCACTATTTGTTTTCTACTTTTACTATTACGTTGGTGTTTTGCGCTCTATTTGTTTTCTACTCTCACTATTACGTTGGTATTTTGCGCACTTTTTGTTTTCTACTCTCACTAATACGTGGGTTTTTTGCGCACTATTTGTTTTCTACTTTCACTATTACGTTGGTGTTTTGCGCTCTATTTGTTTTCTACTCTCACTATTACGTTGGTATTTTGCGCACTTTTTGTTTTCTACTCTCACTAATACGTGGGTTTTTTGTGCACTATTTGTTTTCTACTTTCACTATTACGTTGGTGTTTTGCGTTCTATTTGTTTTCTACTCTCACTATTACGTTGGTATTTTGCGCACCTTTTGTTTTCTACTCACTAATACGTGGGTTTTTTGCGCTCTATTTGTTTTCTACTCTTACTATTACGTGGGTGTCTTGCGCACTTTTTGTTTTCTACTTTAACTATTACGTTGGTGTGTTGTGCACTATTTGTTTTCTAATTTCTTTGACTATTATGTTGGCATTTTGCGCATTATTTGTTTTCTGGTTTTTTTTAACTATTACGTTGGTGTGTTGCGCACTATTTGTTTTCTTGTTTTTTTAACTACTACGTTGGCATGTTGTGCACTATTTGTTATCTAGTTTCTTTAACTATTAGGTTGGTATGTTGTGCACTATTTGTTTTTTAATTTCTTTAACTATTACGTTGGTGTGTTGTGCACTATTTGTTTTCTTGTTCTTTTAACTACTACGTTGGCATGTTGCGCACTATTTGTTTTTACTTTCTTTAACTATTGCGTTAGCATATTGCGCACTATTTGTTTTCTAGTGTCTATAACTATTACGTCGGCACGTGGCACACTATCAGTTTTCTAGTATGTGTAACCTTTACGTTAGCATGATGCGCACTATTAGTTTTTTGTTTTGTTTAATTATTACTTTGGTGTGCTGCGCACTATTTGTTTTCTAGTTTCTTTAACTATTAGGTTGGTGTGTTGCGCACTATTTGTTTTCTACTTTCTTTGACTTTTACGTTGGTGTGTTCTGTAGTATTTGTTTTCTAGTTTGTTTAACTATTACGTTTCGTGTTCCGTACTATTTGTTTTTTAGTTTGTTTAACTATTACGTTGGTGTGTTACGCACTATTCTAGTTTGTTTAACTATTACGTTTCGTGTTCCGCACCATTTGTTTTTTAGTTTCTTTAACTATTACGTTGGTATGTTGCGCACTATTTGTTTTTTAGTTTCTTTACCTATTACGTTGGCATATTGTGCACTATTTGTTTTCTGGTTTGTTTAACTATTTCGTTGGGATGTTGCGAACTAAATGTTTTGTAGTATGTATAACTCTTGGGTTGACGTTTTCTGCACTATTTGTTTTCTAGTTTGTTTAACTATTACGTTGGTATGTTAGACTCTTTATTTTGTGGTTTGTTCAACTTTTACGTTGGCATGTTGTGCACTATTTGTTTTGTAGTTTGTTTAACTATTACGTTACGTTTTCTGCACTATTTGTTTTGTAATTTGTTGAAATATAACGTTGGTATGTTGCGCACTATTTATTTTCTAGTTTCTGTAACTGTTACGTTGGCATGTTGCGCACTATTTGGTTTTTTTAACTTTTACTTTAACGTGTTTCGCACTATTTGTTTCCTAGTTGATTTAACTATTACGTTGCCATGTTGCGCACTATTTTTTTTCTAGTTTTTTTAAACTACTACGCTAGGATGTTGCGCGCTATTTCTTTTCTAGTTTGTTTATTTGTTACGTTGCCATGTTGCGCACTATTTGTTTGCTTGTTTCTTAACTATTACGTTAGTGTGTTGTGCACTATTTGTTTCTAGTTGGTTTAACGATTACGTTGGCATTTTGCCCACTAGTTATTTTTTAGTTTGTTTAATTGTTACGTTGGCATGTTGCGCACTATTTGTTTTCAATTTTTTTAACTGTTACGTTGGCGGGTTGCGCACTATTTCTTTTCTACTTTGCTTAAGTATTACGTTGGCATGTTGTGCACTATTTGTTTGATCTCTGGTTTCTTTCACTGTTACGTTGGCATCTCGTGCACCATTTGTTTTCTGGTTTGTTTAATTGTTACGTTGGTATCTCGCGCACTATTTGTTCTCGGGTTTGTTTGACTGTTACATTGGTATCTCGCGCGCTATTTGTTTTCTGGTTTGTTTGACTGTTACGTAGGCACCTCCCGCACTATTTGTATCCTGGTTTGTATGTGTATTACGTTGGCATCTGGTGCACTTATTTTTTTTTTTTGGTTTGTTTAACTGTTACGTTGGTATCTCGCGCACTATGTTTTTTCTGGTTTGTTTGACTGTTACGTTGGTATCTCGGGCACTATTTTTCCTCCGGTTTTTCTAACTGTTACGTTGGTATCTTGCGCAGTGTTTGTTTTCTGGTTTGTTCGACTGTTACGTTGGTGTCTCGCGCACTATTTTTTTTCTGGTTTGTTTGACTGTTACGTTGGTATCTCGTGCACTATTTGTTCTCTGGTTTTTTTTTTTGGTTTTTTTTACATAACATGATACTTACATTAACTACATGAAGGTTCCTTTCACGGGACTGTCTACGCACATTGCATTACACTACTTACAGTACTCTTAAGATACAATTAATATTTATGCTACGTACATTGTTCTACTTATACTACGTACAATGTGATAATGCACACATATTTAGAAGCACATCATTTACACACAAAAAAAGAGAAACTCTCTTGGCAGCACTGTACAAAAATTATTAGAAAACATTATGGAGAATATGCATACTGATGCAAGAGCGTAAAAGGTTTATGTCTTCCACTCTTCAGTGCTATCTTTTTATTCTTGGAATCTTATTCTTAACTTAATTCATGCGATAAATTTCCCACTTCTCTTCAGGTGATGAGCAAGGCCCGTGAGGAACATAACCGCGCCCCAGCTAATCCGCAACTAACATCAGAGTACAATCTGTGGGAGGAGCACTGGGTCAGGCAAGTGTCTTAAACAATCTCTTCAGTATGGAGCCTCTGAGCTTTCGATGTGGAAGTTCCATGCGTTACCTCCTGTAATAAGCGGAGAAAGGTTTTGGTTAGGGGTGTTATTCTAACTGTGATCCGCCCATAAATTTTCCGTGTAAGTCAATGCAGTTAAAAATAAGGAAGGTAATGAGAACTCACCTTTTGATTACCTATGGAGGTTGTCCTGAATAATGTTGAAACAGAGTAGTGACTTTTCGCAAACCACGACGGCGAATTGTTCACATATCTCTTTTGGAACTCAGCACTGCCCTCATAAATTATTTTGAAGTCTGGCGCTGTGAGAGGCGGTTAATGAATCCAGCCATTTGCACAATTTTAAGAAAAATATAAATTAGTTTTTTTCAATTGACGTGTCCTAAGCGTTGCCACTCGGGCCCTATTCTCACATGTTAATCGAAATTAGTGTACAGACACTGGTAAATGTACTTATTTGTGGATGTATTTCGTGTCATCTTTTTCAGTTGTTCTAAAGAGCTCGGTCAATGGGATTTGCTGATGGAGTTCGGAAAGACTAAGGGCCACACTAATCCTTTCCTGGGTACGATCGTGAAAATTTTCCTACTTCATTTGTTGATTTTCTTTTTATGATAATGTGTGTTACTTTCTCTGATCGTTTCTCTGATATTTCTTGTTATTTTAGTTCTAGAGAGTGCATGGAGAGTCCCTGAGTGGCAATCAATGAAAGAAGCTCTTGCACAGGTAATTTTTGAACAACTATAAGCTCCAAAAGAATATTTCCACTATTTTATCAGTATTTGATTTCCACGTGTCTTCCTATGGCTTTTCAGGTTGAAGTCAACTTCCCGGAATCAATCGCGTACAAGTTGAACTTATATCGAGGTTACATAGCTATTTGCCATCCGGATGAACAACACCTTAACATGGTTTGTGTCACAATTGCGTTTAATATTCTATTTTTTTTACACGCTGCCAGCGGTTTGTTCTACTCGTGATTTTAAGCGAAAGTTATGAGCAAGACGAGAGACTGAGTCGAGACCCAATCTCCACTCGTTCCTCCCTCCTTGTTCCTACTGTAATTTCTAACCAATCGAAGCATCTGTTATATCTGCACGTTATGACTGTCTCCTATAACCAAATGCTGTTTTAATCCTCCGCGACATAGGTCGACAAACTTGTAGAGCATTCCACAACTCAAGCAATTCGCCAATGGAGGCGCTTACCTCCGATTATTTCACAGCAACACATTCCACTCCTACAGGTGAGCTTCTCTGATTGTTTCGTTTTCATGTTTTAAGCCTTTGACCCCTACATGTAAGAGTGACTAACATCTAAATGTTACAGAGAACAGTATTGAAAATATGCATACTGATCTTAGGGTGTAAAGGGTAAACAAACGCCCACACTTTCACAAGCGCAAAAAAATATGTCGCGGATGTGAAGAGCTGGACGAAACGCGCTTACGTCGACGGCGGTCTTTAAAACGAAAAAACTGTTTTTCTTACATTTATCCTTTTTTTTCTGTTCTTTTTTTTATTTACTTACCAGCCAATCGCCTGGTTTCTATTTAATCTCTCTTTTGTAAGCTTTGCCATGTTTTTTTTTTCTGTGACAAATTTTATCTTTTCAATGCTCTCTCGCCCTCTCCAAAAATAGTTCACACGCATGCTCCTTTGCTCCAAGGGGGTCGTTATCGATTCTACTGAATTTTTCTTTGGACGTTTTGTTGATTACTGTTGCTGTTAATTCCAGGCGGCGCAACAAATTATGGAGCTTCAAGAAGCTGCTCAGATTCACACGGGTCTACAACCGCCGAATGTTGGACGATCGACTAGTCTACATGATATGAAGGCTATTGTGAAAACATGGCGGTGAGAAGCTTCTCCTTCCAATATATTTATCCACAACTGTTTTTATAATACAGCGAGTAAACTCGTTTATTAAATTCAAATCGTCATTCGTCAAGCGTCATATTCCCATTGTTCGAGCTGACGACGGGTGTATGCGCATTGAAATAAAGCAGCGGAAACTGCTCTTGATACAACATAGCACAACGGCGTCGACATAGTTTTTTAAAAAATTTGTTCGTTTGTAAGCTCTTTGTTAATCAAGATGTGAAGATGGGAAGTTTGGAAGGCACCAAGCTATTAGCTACGTCTCGAGCAATTCTAACACTACTTGTATTTTCAGTTATTATTGAATGAAGCAGCGAGTGAAATAAAAAAGACTGATTAACCTTTGCCTACATTCAACAACGTTAAAATTCTTTAAACTTTTAGTAATCGCCTCCCCATGCCGTCGGACAATTTATCTCACTGGAGTGACATCTTTATGTGGAGACATCATCACTATCAGGCAATTGTAGCAGCTTATGAAAGTCAAGCGCAACATGAACAGGTATGTCTTTCTTATCTGCAAATATCTACTTGGCTTACGATGTTTGCCCTACTAATTCTGTTGTCTCTTCTGTTGTCTTTTCATAAAGGATTTAAGAGTAATTAAAACCAGCTCTTGTTAAGTCAATGTCCTTCGTAATCGTTAGCAGACTCCCTGGTAAGCTTCCTAGGAATGCGGAAACTCCCCTTTTCCCTTCAACCCCCCCCCCTCCCCCCTCTCCCACCTTTACTACCCAGGTCAGGTTGAGCATTTGCTCTATAAGTGACCGTACTTTTTTTCTGTCAAGCAGCAGAGTAACCACTCCATGCTTGGTGTTCACGCCTCCGCTTGGGCCATCATTCATTATGGTTACATAGCCAGGAAACAAGGCCTCACTGGAGTGTGTTTGGACTCGCTCAGCAGGTTGGTAGTAGCACACTTAATGCAATTTAATATCACACTAAACTTGCCGCTGACCTCTTTTTATGTGTGTTACAGGATTCACACTATTCCCAGTGTTCCTATCGTGGATTGTTTCCAGAAGATTAGACAGCAGGTGAAGTGTTATCTGCAGATGGCTGGCGGAATGGGAAAACAAGAGTTGCAAGAGGTGAGTGGAATAGAGGAGCTACAACGGAAGAAAATTGTGATCTTTTTCACTGGTTGGTGAGCCAAACTAACGCAGCGGTCCAACGTCGGGTGTGCGCGAGGGATCAGTTTTGGCCGGCTGCGCGCAATTTTTGCCAAAAAAATTAACAGGAAAACATAAGAAAAACCGCTATCTCACAGAATAAGAGAAAGGAAATTGAATTGTTCATGAAAATCTGTAAAAGGAAACAAAGGTAAGGAAAAGGAAAACTCGAGACTTTTCGAACACAAAGATTTTTCAAGGAGGATTTTCATGCTGATTTACGTTTTTGCTTTGAGTTCTACTGAAAACGTTATACGCTTCTATGACACTGAGAGGCAACTTAGTTCTAACTGCCTGAAAGCACGCCATCTCATCATTACAGCGTTCGCTCATGCGCAGACGTTTGGCTCCTCTCTTAGTTAAACCATACGTGAGGTTCCTCATTATGAATTCGGAAAATTAGACTAAACTAATGCTGTTTTTTTGTCAATCTTACAGGGCCTTGAGGTCATCGAGTCTACAAATCTGAAATACTTTTCCAAGGAAATGACTGCAGAGTTCTTTGCTCTCAAAGGAATGTTCCTCGCTTACATTGGAAGGTAAATTGAAAGCAGAGAGAACATGACGAAAGAGGAACAAAACGAAAAACAGGGGCAAATTGTTGCCTTAGATTGCTTTGAGTGTCTTGAACCAAACCAAAGCAATTCCAATAGCCAATCATAGGATGAAAATATCACGAAAATATCACTCGAAGTAAAAACAAGCAACCTGCCTGGAGCGCGGGAAAACGCGAGTGACCAAGTTGCCATTGGGTTTAGTTTTGAATTTGATTGGCTGAAAAAGTGGCGCGAGTTTTTTGGAACAATCACATAACGAAATGAAGCAAATGCAAAGCAATCCCAGACTGCCTTCGACACTCAAGTCACGTCAATCAGTACAATCAGAACAATAATCAGTACAGAAATACTTTGTTTAGCGTCCAACAGGAAACGCGAAGGTCGGATATTTTATTGCCGATAGTTGCTGACCTTTTGAAGCACTTTTATTTCCTCTGCTTAGGGTAAATTTTTTTTATTTTAATGTGTTTGTAGGTCTGAAGATGCTAACAAAGCTTTCTCGCAAGCGGTTCAGATGCAGGACTCGCTTGTGAAAGCCTGGGCACTATGGGGTGACTACCTTGATGGTCTTTTTGTTCTAGAGAGGTAAGAAAATACCCTTCTTTTCTCTTACATCACCCACATATTTGAGTGTTTGTGGTGACTATACCAGCCAGAAAACGACTATTACAATGTGGGTCTCTTTTTTAACTCCACTACTTTAGATTACAGCGGAGCGCGCGCGCATCGAAGCACCATACCTATAAGTTTTATGTATAAGGCCACATATATAAATTTGTATTAATTTGATACTTATTTCCTATGCGTCACATTATTTTTCCATATGTGATCGCAGGAACATACAGCTTGGTGTATCCGCCATTGTTTGTTATCTTCACGCCTGCAGACACCAAAACGAGGCCAAGTGTCGCAAGTATTTGGCGCGAACAATTTGGTTGATGACGTATGATGACGAAAAGGTCTGGTAACAAGATATTTGCAGCTTAATCACAACAGCAACAAGATTCTCATTGCTTATCTGTAGCCCTAGTTAAGTTCGAACAGCACATTTTAAGCGTCATGCCCGTGTAATTAGACAGTATGTGCCGTTCAGTTGTACGCGTAATTATGTAGACCGTAGGGTCCGTTTTCTCGTGGATAGAAACAACTTTTTTTATACATTGATACGCCTTACCGAGGCGTTAAGGGGGTAGTCTCTGTAAGAAACTGTGGTGCTGCGTCGGCGGAAAGTAAACTACGATAATTTGGTTTAGTCAAATGAGTTGATAAAGGAAATTGACCACCGTAGACAGTTTCTAAAGCTGACTTCAGTGATGATAAAAGCTCATCGATTTATGTTTATAGGGCTCGATCGCTGAAGCAGTTGACAAATATTGTGTCGGTGTCCCCCCGGTTCACTGGCTTCCCTGGTAAGTTACGTCAAGTAACGTCTCTTGTCCCTTTGTTTCGTGTTTAACATGCGGAGTGAATAATTCTTCGTTTTTGTCTTTGGTGCTCAGGATTCCCCAGCTGCTCACGTGTTTGGTTCGACGTGAAGGTCAAAAGATATTAAACCTTCTGTGTAATATTGGTCGAGTTTATCCTCAGGTTAGTGAACGGAAGTAGTTCACTTCTCTTCGTCTCTCTTTTTTCAGTTTGCTTTGATTTGTTTTTTCTACGTTGATTGTGTCTGCGCCTCACTAGCCTGACGATCTGGATAGAATATCAGTTTTTTGTGTTGTTTATCGAATGATATCCTATTTTCAGGCCATGTACTTTCCAATTAGAACCTTGTATCTTACCTGCAAGATTGAGCAACGGGAGAGACGTGAGTATTGTTAATTAGGACCTTAATCGGTTGGTTTTCGAGTAACAGGAGCATATAAGAAAATACGAAAACATATAACTCTATCAAAAATGGTGCGTTTCTTTGTTATTCTTTGATGTTCATTTATATGCGCCCTCTCGGCCCCGTCTACAAGTGTACGAACAATATTTTCCCTCAAAGCCGAGGCGAAGACGGCCCATTTAAGTACCTGTAAAATGAGCTTAATCATCCGTACCAGTGAGAGTTTGTTAGTCAACCACTCACCTCTGAGAACAATCGTGGATAAGCTTATAGCAGAAGCCATGTCATAAGCTTGTACTTACAGTGCATTCGATACTCCTGCGCCTCCAACGTATATCTGCTCATCGCTGATGCATGTCTCCAACCTTTGACCACAGTTGCATTTTACGTCGTTATTCTTCCCGCACTCACTTTGGTTCGTTGCCTGAGGCATATTTCCCGGGTTCATTGCGGACGACATGTTTTAGCAACCTTGTCTTTTAGGTGCTTTCTTGAATCGAAGTTCGCTTGGATTCAAAATTTAACAGAGAGTAGATTCTTAAATGATTTGAGAAATATTATATTTCACTCCTAGTTAAAAAAAATTCTTAAGCTTTTGTAACCTCTTGCTATTATTTATAAATCTGCTGCTTCACTTCTGTTGAAATCCCAGATAAAATGGAGGCAGCGAACATAACAACCCAGCGGTCTTCTACTTCAGGCAGCAACAGTACCGCCTCCTCAGAATCACAAAACGCGTCTTCAGCTACCCCTAAAACCAGTGCAACCGGTTCAGAAACAGGACAGACTGGTACCACAGCCTCGTCAACGAGTAAAAGTGCTGGTTCAACGCCAACAAGCGCTGCACCAGGTATTAACTTGTTCTCCACTTCATTGTCAGATGTTACTTGACGTATGTAAACGGAAAGACACTTTTGGGTGTTGCTTTTTTCTGTTAAGTCTAAAGGACGAGACGAGTGATTTTATTAATTGTTAACATTTATTTTTTACAGAAAATGCGGCAAGTTCAACAGCCACACCGGTTTGTAGATCATTAAATTTATTCTTATGAAACCTCTGATCGTACTCTCTTCAAGCTTTTCGAATTGTGTTACATGTCGTCTTTTGTTTGGTTCATTTCAGACAACGCCATCAACACCCACCCCGATGCCTACAACAACTACCTCTGAACAGGCTACAGCTTCGACTGCAGGCTCAGCGACCACTTCTACAACTGCTGGCTCCACGACACCAACTACAGGTACCCTACAGGGGACTCGTAAAAACAAGAACCTGAAAGGGGGGGGGGGGAGAAAATACCAAAAGAAAGAAAAGGTTGCATTAGAATATCCATCAGAAGTTAGTTATTGTCAGTAGTCTTCCCCTATGTACCAAAAGATCTTTGTTGTATAAAATTTTAATGTACATCTTTTAATAGTCACCACCAACTTAGCAGTCATAGTGACCCAGGGCGATAAGCAGCCACGGGCCCTGAGGTGTAAGTGGCCAGAAGATAATGTACTTTTTGAGTGGGATTCACATCCGGAATCCTCCTCTCAGCCTCTGAAGAGAGAGATCAGGTACATATTCATGTCGTACCATATACCTATTGCAAGGATCTTCTTCCAACCCTCCTCACGGCCCCCAGAAAGAGAGCTGCTTGATACATGTGCCTATTTATCAGTACTTTTTGAGGCACTTTCATCCAACTCTGCCTCTGTAGCCCGTGAAGTAGAAGTCAATTAGGTACATTAACATGTACCACATTTATAATCTTTTCTAAACTTTTTACCTTTTGGGGGGGGGGATAGGGATCACCACATTGCCATACCACTCCTGATGAGGTTGTCGATCAAAGCATGGCTGGGCTTTGATGCTGAAAAGTTTATTAGTTCGGCAGACGGTTTGGTTCCGTGAAGGTTGGCCTGAGAGGCTTGGCAGCTGCGCCAGGGACTCATAAAGTGTTATCAAGTCGCGGTTGGAAACAAGCAGATGGTAAGTTTCTCAGGCTCCTTCATTTTTCTGGAAACGATGGGAACAAATACCTTAATCAGTTGGACGCCTGCACCAAAGATTGAATTTCTGATGAAGCAGACTTCGGTCATTATTTGTTTGTCGGTTTTCGGACGAGTTGAAAGAACAATCTCCGATCTTCCAACAGCTGCAGTTGCCCGAATCACACCACACATGACCGAGCTTTGTGAAGAAATTAGCCGTGTTGCTATCTGAATCGTGGATTTAACTGGCCTGGAGTGTATCACACTTTTTCATCAGCTGCATCTGAGTTCCTGGCGCAGAAGGGGCCCAAGCTACTTGCCCAAGGATCCAGCATTTCAGAGGCTAAGGAAGAACAGTGAAAGCTTGATTGACTTCACGGCCAGGGGAAAAATAAATACATTCTGTCCTAGGGGACACTAGTTTAATCCAGAATGTCCAAGTTTTAAAAGCTGGACTATTGAAACATGATGATGATTCGCTGAAACTGTTTGATTTTTACTTACTTCTTTGAAGAGGATAACAACTGAGACTGTTAACGTCCAGATATTTTTAGAGTGTATGTAGTATCAAGTCATATTTTTAAATCTTGCGCAGTCAACTAGGTCCAAGTGTCTTCTAAGCACTTTGATCGGCAAACTGAAGAAATGGATCAAGACCTGGGCAAAGAGCAAATCTCTTCCCAAGGTAAGCACATTTGTCTCGAATTTGAGAAACAACCTAGTAATGTTGCATACATTTTAAGCTTTTCATAGATGTGGGAAATAATGTACGTATTTGCTTATGTATGTTAGTGTGTGTTGTATGGAGGTACACTCAGGACAAGCTAAAAGTAGTTACTGTTAAGCGTGAACCTCTCTGTCTCTTTGTAGCTCTTTTCTTTGGAGGAGAGATGTCGATTCCTCAGTAATTTCACGACTCCTACAGCAGAAGTGAGCTTCCATGGCGAGTTTTTGATGCCCAAGTCGCCACGGTTAGTTGAAAAGAGCATACCTTTTCGCTCCTTTGAATAGAAATCAGCCAGTTTGCGATGATAGATAACCCTGTTTTAATGACACAGTGCTAAGAATCGTTAGTAACAAGTGTTGAATGGCCCATGTTTTAATTTCTTCGTGCACAGTCCATAATGACATCGCTCGCTTTATGCCGCGGGTTGAGTTTGTTCAAAAGCACAACTTTTCTTGCTCAGCCTTACATCCGGGGTAATAATGGCAAGGTATGACCAGCAGTGGTGTTGATAATGTTTATTCGCGAAACGCGTGGAATTAAAAAGAGAAGACACTTTTTTTATTTGAACTTGAAATCAATGTAATGTTTGTGCTGTTTCTCACTTTTTTAAAGTTTGAATTGTGTTTACCTTTCTGATCTATCCATACCTTGTAGTGAAATCGGATGCGTACACGTGAATTGAGAAGGGAAGAGAGAACTTTTTCTTCCAACTGTTGAGGCTCCCAACTTATTTAGAGAAGAGAAAGCACAAGTGATGAAGTTTGTAGTAAAGAAATACAACTTTTGTTTCTGCCAAAAAGAGTAACGACACAGAAAGGTTCTTCTCATTTCAAATATGGAACACTCTTCTCTGCAACTCACGTCTATTCAATGGGACTCCTAACTGCCTCATACGCTTGCGGGCTTTTTATTATTTTTTTTTTTTTGGGTAGAATCGTTACATGTTTGAAATACGGCCAAAAATCTCTCCAATCATTATTACCGTAATAAATACTTAGTTATCGTAGATTTTTGTTCGTTTAGGAGTCCTGCAAAAGACACCGGCACATGGCACCATGTGTTGTAGTCATTGGGGACACCAAATGCGACTTATTGAGGAAGTCAAGGCGATGTTGCGACTAAATGGGCCGCGTTATGGTTTATCAGTCATAACATGGTAAAGTTGTTCTTGCTCCATGTCTCGTTAACTTCATTCTTTTATGTTAACTGTTTCCAAATCTTTAGACAATCCGTCTTTCATTTCTTTAAGGGAGATCTTAACTGACGTAAGTAGCCATTTTCCAGCACTTCTGTTTCCTACCAGACTCCTCATATTTACCCATTATTTTTCTTCGTGAAGTGTTGCAGACAAGAAACACGTGGAGTCTGACGCACCAATCGCGTTGTATTACGAGCGCCTCGCTTCGTCCAGTCACGTACGTCAGGTGATCACCAGGTTCTAAAGTACATTCTCAGAGAGGTGCAGCTCACACAGAAACAGAAGTCCTTTCTCAAAGAATGCCTTAGTACACGTATCAGGATCCTCTGATTACTGGACCTTCAGAAAACAGGCATGTGAAGATCTCTCACTGGTCTTTACTTGTTCAACAACTGAGAACTAAATGTTAGTTTTCTTTCTTGTAGCTTGCATTCAACTGCTTCCTCTGCCTTGCTGAGTTCACTTGCATCTTACAAGGACTGGACCAAGAAATAAATTGCGCAGGACTCACACTAACTGTCTCTGCAGCTGCTTGAGTTGACGACACAAAAGGTAGACATCACCTTTTGTAAACTCTTTGCAGGCTAAAATTTTGCAGGACTGAGTTGTGCTTTCGTTTCTTTTGTACCCAAGGCGAACTGACGCGGAACTGTCCCGTACCTTTCCGACTAACTCCGAACATTGCCGAGTTCGTTACGCCGGTCGGTGTGAATGGAGTGAGGACGGCAGCGATGGTGTCAGCGGCATGGTGTTTAGCTGAGCCTGCAAGCTGGGTAGTGTTCGAGAGCCCTTTGGAAAGCTAAAGGAGACGAGCTATTGTTTACAAAAGGTCAGTAAACGTTCCTCCGTCAAGGAATTAAAAGTAGAGGTTAAGTTTATCCGCTCCTTTAACTACGTCCATGGCTAGCTACTTAACCTTCACTCCCAAGATCCTACTGCAATTTCTACTGTCTGCCATAATTCCTATGATGTTAGTTAATTTGCACTGGATCAATTCAAATTTATGACTATTTTTCTTTATTTTCATCACTTGTCTGCTTGATATACTGTACTGATGTTGTAAGGAGAAATTCTATCTTGGTCACTCATGGGAATTAAAGGAGCACAACATCTAGAGAGCAATGCAAACTTGAACTA